TAAAGAAGATGGTATCTACTATGCGGTACACCAAAAACTATTCATTTATAAAATTTTATCACCTTTGTTTAAAGATTTATACAGACTTTTACTGTGTCAAAACAAAGTCTCATTTATGATTTCTCAACTTGTTCGTTTATTCAATCTTATAAACAAAATCATCTTTAATTCAATAAATGGAAACAAAAAACTGGACCATTAATCAAAAAAAACGAGAATATAAAAATGACAACTTTAATATTTTCTTTGAACCTAAAACACATACCTGCATATTCTTTTGCCCATCTTTTGAAGTAGGACTCAGACAGCCTTTTGACTTACAGAGCCAATAAATGTCGTTCAATACTATCTGACATCAACAACATCCAAAGGGCATCACCTACAAATACTATTTTCAATTTCTTCAAAAGTGGGGAAAAAAATTAAAAATTAAAAAAAGAACTTATGTCAAGTATATAAATGCAGAGTTCGTCCTGATTTTAAACATAAATGTCTACAGGTCTTGATAGCCCCTTACATTTAGTCTTTCCTAGGTAATTAACTTTGTTTTCATAAAAAGAATTCTTTCACTTTAAAACCATATATCAACGGACCGTTTCTATTAAACCCAAGTAGTCACAACTGTTTCTTGATAAGTCAACTGGACAAGCAGTGCCCATCAGTCAGGATGTCTTTTTTTTTCCTCCCCATCAGATGGTTAGCATGTCCATGCTGTCACAAGGCTTAAAGGGTGGAACATAGCATACAAAAGTATGAAGTCCCAGTCATCATGCTTATGAACTGGAAAAGGATCAGGATGTATTATAAAAAGAGATACAGAGGGTCTGTTAGTCCAGTAAGTTCATTAAATGGAAGTCTTTTAAGAATAATGTCCCTTTACTTTAAATTTAGTTATCATTTTTATCACATTAAAGCATGTAAAACAGTACCAGAACACAGGACTAAATAAGTATTTGTTACTTACTAATATTCAACAGTGTAGGAATTTCACCTATATTACCTACGGTCTCCATTCACTTAAATCATCAAAGGGAGTAGTACTCTAAGTAGGTAACATAAACTGCAATAGAGTCTCATTGTAAACCTATGAATACAGAGTACAGTCAGTTTGATTTCTAGTAATAAGTAGATGGGATAGTGCTTAAAAGACGAGATTGTTAAAAATAAAGTGGAGGGGGAAAAAAGTAGAACAGCTCATACAAAAGGTCAACAAGAAGTGAATATCAAGTTTCACAAATTAATATAACCTTACCAAAACCAAAACCCACAGCAACCCTACAGAATAGTACAGAACTGCCCCATGGAACTTACAAAGCTACAATCTTTAAGGAAGTAGACTGCCTGGTCTCTCTCTCACAGGACCCAGCTATTAGGTTCAAACTGACAACTTTTGAGTTAGCTGCCACTTAACCACCACACCACTGGAGCTCTTTAATTTAACCTTATCACCTCAAAAATGCTCCAAGAATAATCATAGGTATTCCTAAGGTGTGGCAAATGGGCTAGAGGAGAGTGAGCTACAGAGTCCTGAGCACACATCAAGTCATTTGCCCCTATCATCAACTCACAAATGACTGAAAATAACTTTTAAATCAAGACTACTTAATGCATCCTAATGTTCATATAATTTCCTAATCACTACCATTATGAATAAAATACACCAATAGAAAATTTAAATACATGTAAATGTTAAAAAAATGTACTTTATAGAAAAGCAAAAAACCTGTGATTAAAAACCCTCAACATAAGTAGTGAGCAAATTAAAATAAACCTAATTGCTTGACCATTTTTAGCCCAAGGTTTTTGATTGGTTCTAATTTGCAGACATAAAACCTGAAGCAAAATGACAGATGATCTATAAGCCATCGGAAGTTCAAAAACTGCAGCTACTTCTGACATTCTCATCCACTAGGAAAGCATCTACAGTAGCACTGACTTTCTTCCTTCTATGGACATCAAAAAGTACTGGAAATGTTATGAATAGTTAGGAGAAAGAACACTGCCCATAAGGCCGCACCAAGCCACTAGATGGCACTATCACAGAAACATCACCGCTTGCCCAGTTAGAACAGCAAAACCGAAATTGGCCATGAACTCATCAACATTCTCATTGGAAAATGATGACTCATAATGAAGAATTTGAGGTTAGGAAGATAAATTTTTCCAAAAAAACACCTTTTTCTCCCAGTACCACTGATCCTGCTCCCACCACCTTACCCAGCCGTCTCCAAACAACAGAGATGCAATGTCACACAGGTAGAAGCTGTGGTACAAAAATAGACATTTTCTTTTCCATACTCTGCAAACTACAGAATAATGTATTCAGGTATTCACTTTTTTCCAAGTTCTTTGCTACTGGGGAAAAATGATCTTGATAGCCCCTAAAGAACACATGTAGTGCAATCATGATGGCACAACTAATGGCATTAAAAACAACTAGAAATAAAGAACCTACTTTCTCTGTATAAATATTAAAATGGAATTCCCTATTAAACAGGTCATTGCATTAGAGGTTATCACTGGAACCTTAGTTACATGAGAAGCAAAATTCAGAATGTCATTCCTTTCTATCATTGATGCCCTATTCCCATCAAAAGTATACTTGAATATACAGCCATTAAAGAACTAACACCATCAAAACAGAGGCTAAGGAGTTTAAGCCACACATAACTTGAACAAAAGCCTATGGACTTTTACACAATAGGTGGCCATTTGGATATAAGCCTTATGCTGAATTCTCCAGTTAAATGATAAATCAAAGGTCATTATTAAGTCATCAATGCCACCAGAGACATATTCAAATACAAGCATACCTCAGAGATACTGCAGGGTCGGTTCCAGACCACTGCAATAAATCAAAGGAAGGAAGTCACACAAATTGTCTGGTTTCCCACTGCATATAAGTTATATTTGCACTACTATATTGCAGTATATTAATGTATCGTAACAGTGTAAAATACTATCATGAGAATTTCCAAAACATGAGAGAATGAAATGAGCATGTTACTGGAAAAATGGAGTCAAGAGACTTGCTCAATGCAGGATTCCAACAAATTTTCAATTTGCAAAAATGTATTATCTACAAAGCACAATAAAACAGTGCAAAAAAAAAATAAATAAAAAACAACTACAAAATGTCTAACACATCCTGTGTTCCCACACAGCACCTTGACACTTCATGTCTCTCCCCTCTCTCCACACTATTGGCTCTAGAGACATTGCTTAGGTGTCTCCAAATGCCATCAAGTCAACGCAGTAAGTACTTACTACTTTTTGATTTTTAAACTATTATTTAAAATAAGTTTTAAACAAAAACTTATCACCTGTCCCAGCTCACCAAAAATGCTAGGTTTTCCAACTAATCCTAGAAAAATATCTTTCACTTTAAAAAAAGCTTCCAACAAAAGATGACATCTATGTTTGTCCAGATAGCTTGTGATAATACAAACCCAAAGGTAGAGACATTTACTGCTATAAGAAATAGGATCTCTTAAAAAAAAAAAAACAAAAAACACCAAAACACAAGCAGAGAAAGAAATACATCCCATGAAGTCAAAGCTTAAAAATTCACCTATCTTAAAAAAACTTAAGTAACGTGACAATCTTAGATTGTTGAAAACTGTTAAAATAAAACAACACAGGTCTGTTTTATGTACCATAACAAAATCATAAAGGTTAATTATGCTATAATAAAATCATACTATAAGCAGAGAGATCAAGTAGCAAGCAGATAAAGACAAGCATGAAGTTGCATTATTACTTGATTAAAATATCTGCCCATTAATGGGGACTTGCTCTTATTTCAGACTACATGACAAAAATAAAAATTGTAGAGAGCTCTGGTGGCCTAGTGGCAAGACGCTGCACTGCAATCCCAGAGGTATGCCGTTCAAATCCACCAGATACTCTGCTGGAGAAGGAGGGGGCAATCTCCTCCTGTACCTGTCAGATCTGATTTGACGTTACACGTAAAAATAATACAATAAAAATTTTTTTTAAAAATTGTGAAGAAGGTAAAACAGGAAAAAGTCATATGGGGGTGTGACCAGGAAGAATTTGCTAAACTGCAGATGTGGATAAGTGACAGAGTAGCAGAGGGTGATTTTCAGTACTCAGTCATGGTTCTTATAACTCTATAATGTTTTAGAAAAACAAAAAAGGTTGACAAATTTGCTGAGATATTATAAAAATAGCTTAAGAAAGAATATGGTAAGAAAAAAAATTAAAAAAAAAAAAAGAATATGGTGATTAGTTTCCATTTGTTGGGATTTCCCCAACCCCCATTTGCTGTTCTTTAGATACATGGTTTAAAGAACAAAGACCTTGAAAAACGACCTGAATAAGAAAAAAAATCTATAAAATATTAAGGATTCTTTTTTGTTTTTAAAATCTCTACTCAAATAACTTTAACTTATGTATCAAGGAAAGTTACTCTGCAGGAGCTACATAAAACTAAAATTATCTCTTCTCATTATCTGTAAGGAGCTGTGGTGCCATGGTGGTAAAAGGGCTTGAATGCTAACAAAAAAGTGAAGAGTTTCAATCTACTACTATTCGGCAAAAAGAAAGATGTGGCAGTCAGCTTCCATAAACAATTACAGCCTTGGAAACTCTTCTCTCTATCCTGTTGGGGCTCATGAGGCCAAAACAATGGCAATGATCACCATGTAACTGATTTCAGAGTCCAGTGCAATGTAACAATACCTTATACTTAAAAAAATTCTTCAGATTGAGAAGTTTTGATAACATGTGGCATAGAGTCCAGGTAGACATTCTGCTGGGATCTTTGGCGTAACAACCATGTGAAACACTTCTATTTAAGAGGAAAAAACATAGCATATCCTCTCACATAGAATGCCTTCAAACTTACTGTTAAATGATTATTGGAATGACTGACAGGATTTCAAACTTCACTGAAATCCTGAGACTACTAACTGTTCTTAATCTTTTTTTTTATATGTGTTTACACTATAAACAGTTTTTATTATCCTTTTACTCACCTTACTAACACCAACTCCAGTAAACCTGGCCTCTAATAATTCCTGCCTTCTTGGGTCCAGACTATGCAATTCTTCCATCATTTCTACTGAAAAAGAAAAAACAGGCTGTAAGACCACAATAATTAAGTGAGGAAGCAGTATTTAGATATTACAAAATCACAGTAATTCTTTCACTTTTCACTTTCAGTCACATGTAAGTAAACAGAATAAATAAGTGATAAACTACAATACATAGTACCAAACAGTACATTTAAAAGTTAGAAAACCACTCAGAAGTCCTCTTCCTCTTCTACATGGACCTCTTACTCCTCTCTAGTGTGGATTTGATTTTAACAGCAAGGAACTTAAACCCTAAATATAACAATCTCTGGCAAAGTTGAACAGAGAGGGAAAAAGAAAATCAGAACTTGGTTGCAAAAAAGAAAATTCTACCAAGCTAAGTACTTTCTGATTTTTCTTCCACAAGCACACAGGAACTAGTTCTTAAAACTAAGACTATGTATGAATCATTAAGAAAAATTAAAAAAAAAAATACAGCATGAATCAGAGGCTACAAATAACTCCCAAAACACTACCAGATAACTCCTTTTACTGAAGCATTCACAGTAGCTCATAGGAAAGTGGGGGGGAGAGGGAATTATCTTAAATGTAAAAGGGAACTCAGTCAAATTATCAACCTGCATTCACCAGAACTCCACAAGCACTCTGCAAAATCTTTTTCTGACTACTCCCGGAAGCAGGAGGGCTTCTCTAGACTCTACACATCTGCTTTTGCACTCCTTCTTGAACAGGGAGGGGCAGAAGGACACCATTTTTAAACTCCTTCCATGACCAATTAATGCACAAGCTACATTCAGAAAAATACATGTCCATCCTAGCCAAGAGATCAACTCGTGCAAGACTGGAAAACTCTCTCGTGTTTATGGTGGAAAAGACAGACAGCATCCCATACTTGGAATGACTGGCATGACTGAAAAGTTCCCAGATAGCAATAATCATTCTCCTTTGCAATCCACTAACTCCACAATGTCAGTAACAACTACTCCAAGTCCTCCAGTTTCATTTTCTTTCCTGGATTGAGAGCCTGAGGACTGAGGGGAATGAAATGGTGCCAAATTAAAGTTTCATCCACGCACACACACAGGGGCAGGTTAGAGAGAGAATTGGGAAATTCTCAGAAGGGCATAAAGGCATCCCTTTTAAAAAGAAAGAGGGGAGAAAGGCTGGGAGACTGAGCATGAGCTGCCCCTTAAGTAAATGGCCTTCCTGGCGCCTCCGAGGCCCTACCGAGGCCAGATGGCAGAGGTTGCAGCCTCCCTTCAAAGCCCGGGTCTCTCCAACATTTTCCAAGGCTCCAACCTCACGCCAGCCCGGAAAACGACGCCCCGGCGGTTATGCCATTTAATGTCAACTCATGTTAAGGAAACTGCCTCTGCGTCTTGTTCCAACGGGGCCCTGGGCCGGGATCCTCCCTGTGGCCCACAGTCGGGAAGCAGGACTAATGGAGCCTGGTCCTCGCTCCCCTCGGCTCCAAACTTTCCCCAACTCCAGGCCCACCTGTCACAGAGGGCGGACGGGCTAGTTCTCGGGGACGCCAGGGGGGCTGCGGAGACCTCCGGCAGCTGGGGCGAACCCGTCTCCTCGCCGGCCGCCGGCCCCACTTCTAGGCCGGGACCGCCTGGGCCTCCCCCATCCTCGCCCGGCCCCTCGGCGACCCGCAGCCCGCGGGGAGCTCCTTCCGCCTCAGCGCCAGGGAGCTGCAGCCCGGCGCCCGCTCCTGGGTGGGCGCTGACCTCAGCCCCCCGAGGCTGTGGGGGTCCCCCGGACGGTTAATGCCTCAGGCCTGGCGCCCTCCCCCGCCCGGGGCTCAGCTTCTCACCTGCCGCCGCCGCCGCCGCCGTTCCACTCTCCTCCCGGGAGGAGCCCCGACCCGACCCGGCTGCGGGCCGCTGCTCTCTCCCCCAGGGCAGGCCCAGGGCGGAGCCGGGGCCTCTCCTGTGCGCCTCAACCCCCCGCCCGGGCAGCTGCCGCCGGCGTCGGGCTCCACGAGAGGGCGGGCGGGGGAGGGGAGCCGTGAGGGCCGCAGATCCCCGGGCTCGCGTACAGAGCCAGGCGCCCGACGCGGACCCGGGCCCCGGCGGCCGCGGGGGGGCGCGGGACCGGCCTCCTGGCGCCGGACAAAGGCCAAGGGAGGCTCAGGAGGGCCCGGGCCGGCCCGGGAGGTGGGGGCCTGCTCGGCTGGGGGGGGCCACTCGGGTGCGGCACGGAGGGCGGGGGGGTCGGAACCGCTGGTGCCCGGGACCCGCCTCCGGCCCCTTAATCCGGATCGGTTCGGTCCGGATTAGTAGTGATCGGTGTAAACACACTAGTGAAACCGCGTGTTTCCTCGCGAGATTTGCACGGCTGGGAGGCGGGGGGGGGGGTCCTGGGGGGGTGGGGAGAGAATCGGCGGTGGGGGAGGGGGAGGGGAAAAGGAAGGTGGAGGGGTCCCCACTGCCCCGGCGCCCCGCCTCCTCCAATCAGCGGCCGGGCTGGCGGGCAGGGGTTAAATGGGGGTCCCCGCGCCGGACGGAGGAGGCCGCCGCCTTGGCTCGCGCTGAGCGCGGCCGGCCGGGAGGTGCCCGAGGGGAGGTCGCGCCGTCTAAAAGGCGCCCCGCCACCGACCGACGTGTTCGTCCCGCCGCCACCTTTGTGTTCCTCGACCCCGGTCGCGGAACAGGGCGGACACCGCAGGCCTCCCAAGGGCGCTGGAGGGGTCTCTCCGCCCCGGCCTTTCCCGGATCCGCCTGTCCTGAGCCTGCGCCCGCCCGATCCCTTATCAGCTCGCGTTTGGGTGAGCAGTGGGCTTGCTCTGCCTGGAGATGGACTTGGAGGAGCAAAGCCCGTGAGCCCGCGGACCCCGCCCGGGGCTTCCCGAGGCGCCCAGTTAGTGAGTTGGCTGGGCCCACCCGCGTCCCCTGGCCCCCCACTCCCCGCCCTCAGGAAGGCGACCTTCAGGCTCCCGAGCCCCCCATCGCCGCCCCGGAAAGCGAGGAGCACTTACCCTCCACATACCTGGTTGGCAGGGCGTCTCCAGGGACAAAAGGTGCCCTGGGATCAAAGCTGAGCCCCCACCCCCACCAGGATGCATCCCTCCGGAAGGGGGGGCGCTGCCCCAAAGGGACTCTCTCCGAGCACCCCGGGAGAGGCTCCATTTCAACCTCTGGTTGAAAACACGGCCTTCCTGGGTACTCAGGGGAGATGAAGGGAAGTAGTCCCCTGGAAAAAACAGGCCTGCCCCTCACAGAATTTCTTTTGAGGAACGAGAAGTGGGAACGTGAGCTCTTGGACGCCGCAAGGAGCCCCTGCAGAGAAGAGGGCTCCCACTCCGATCACCAAGCGCCAGGGAAAAATCCACGTTCTCCACTGATTGCCTGAGGGCCAGGAAACATGAGTTCAACGCGGATAAGGAACCTTTTCTTTTCTCTGACGCTTCCTTAATCAGAAGTCTGAAGATGGCTTAAGGACTTCAAGCAAAATAACAAGGGGGAAATTCAGATATGGAACACCCTTCACTTTTGCAAAGGTGGACACAGTCTCCAAGTGGACTTTCTGCCTGTATTTCAAAGCTTCATTTTTAAGTGAAGTGGAATGGAAAGGGCAAAGGATGGTAGTTTGCTTTTTGTTCTCCAACCTTCTAAACAGCTGGGGCAAACTGAAGCACTGATCCGAGACTCACCAACCTCCCATCTTCACCCCCAGACCCCAAACTACTTGGGAACAGCACACTTCTGGAACATAGGGTCTCTGTGTTGTTGTTATTAGGGGCCAAGGGGTCAATCAGCACCCATAGCAACCCCGTGAAAAACAGATGGAAACCTCGTCCCACCCTGAGCCATCTTCACGGTCTCCTGCATTACTATTACACCATGCCAACCCATCTTGTTGAGGGGCGTCCTCTCTTTCACTGACCCAGATGAAGAAAACAAATGAGGACAACATAAGGCATGAAAAGGGGGGCAAACAAGGGGCAGGAGTCTTTTAAGTCCATGATATACCAATGCCATGAGATCTTACAGGGACCCCTATATATGTGTCAGAGTAGAACTGAGCCCGTATATCTCATCCACCACCCACTTCATGGCTGATGTTTCTGGAAGTAGATGGCCAGGTCTAACAAGGCATCTCTGGGTGGCCTCTACCTCCAACCTTGAGGTTAGCAGTGTCCTCTTTTAACTGTGACATTCAGTCTCTCTTTTGTGACATGTAAACCTTCTGGATCATCCCAGAGTCTCCATGCAAAGCAAATGCAGCAAACACATTATAGGTACTGATCAAGAAAGTAGCTTTTTAACGTGATAACTGGGAAGTCTTAAATAAAAAGAATTGACACTGGGCAGTCAGATAAGTTCTTTTGGTCCTCTTCTCAGAGTTGCACGGACCTATTGGCCATTCAGGCTTCCTCTACCTTATCTGTAAAGGAGTTTGGACTAGATTTCCAGAGTCCTTTCTAGGCCTAAAGGCTTACCTTTTTTTGGGGGGTGGAGGGAACTATTGAAAGTAATACCTAGAACAGAGGAAAAGATAAGGTTGTCAGCTTTACTTTTTCTGGTGCCTCTTCTCTTTCTGTCAAAGAATTCACACTGTCAGGCCTATTCACAGCCCAGTCTAAGAACTGCCTGTAGGAATTTAACAAATTTGCTTACCACAGAGAGTGGGTACTTCTATTTATAAACATCATAGAAATGAAAATATCAACAGTTGGCTAAAAGACAGAAAAAGTGGTTCACCTTTCCCCAGAAAAAAAAAAAAAAAACACTTAAAAAAACCCTAACAAAACAAGATGGTTCCTTTTCCACTGTCATTTAATCGTGAGTACATGAATTAACTTGTTTAAAGTATCTGACTCCATTTTTCATGCAAAGACTACTGGGACCCACCAGCTGAGGATGCTCAAACACAAGAGAACTGGAAGATGTTCACACTGACCATATGGTCCTTTCCACCTTCAGGGAAGTGAATAACAAGTCTTCCAGGTTCACGGTCATAATCACACTGAGGACCCAGAGCTAGACATTCCTCAGGCTAGTTCAGATGTTCCCCAAGGTGTGCTGCACAGGCCTCTATATGATAATACACATCAAAGGGAATAAAAGTCCCAGTGAGTGAATAACTTGGGAAACACCAGGTTAAAGTTAAGCAGAATCTTTATTCTTAGAGTCCACAGTACACCAAAAGAACAAACATGCGTCCTGGAGGAAGTACAACCATGGGGTTCCTTAGAGACAATGATGGTGAAACTCAAACATACTTTGGACAGGTTGTTAGGAAAGACCAGTCCTTGGTAAAAGACAACTTGCTGGGAAAGGTGGACCATCAGAGAATAACAGGAAGACCCTCAACAAGATGGTTTGACACAGTGGCTACTACAGTGGGCTCAAGCAAGGCAGAGATTGTGAGGGGAGGATGGGGCAGGAACATAGGGTCTCTGTGTTGTCCTTGACTTCACAGAATTTAACAACAACATAGATGCTCATACATATATGTCAGTCTCCAAAAGGAGAATTCTTGTATTCAATGTTAACATTTCATTTTGAAACGACTGGTTTGGGGTGTGTGTGTGTGTGTGTGTGTGTGTATTTTAGTTTCTTGGTTAGTTGGTTGTTCCTGAGTATGTCATGGAAAATACATTCTGGGAAAAATGAGAGCAATTTAACCCTCTTTTGCAAAGTTTTCCTCAGTCCCAGCTCTGTTCTATAACTGGTACTATATCATTGATTGCAATTTCTTGACTATTCCACAATATCCATCATCATTATCCAAAAGATCATGGCAGATGACGATTTCACAATAAAAATTTTAGTGCTCAGAAATCTTGATTGCATTGCCATTCTGCTTTTTTTGTTTGCTTTTATGAAATAACAACAAAAACACCACAGAACCTGCAGTGTGGTGTCTAAAGGGAGAAGAGTCCTAGTCAAGCTCCTTGGTTAAAACCTCGCTTCTGCCTCTTCACAGCAGTGTACACCTCAAGTAAGATATTGAACTGGTCTTACCCTCAGTTGGAGAGTCAGAGAAAGATCCTCCATGAGATGGTTGGACACAGTAGCTGGAGGAATGGGCTCCCATATAGCAGGGATAGTGAGGACCCCCAGGCTAGGGCAGCGTTCAGGTCAGCTGTTCAGGTCATCATGAGTTGTGGTTGACTTGAGGGCACCTAGCGACAACAGTAAACCTCAGTTTATCTTTAAAATATTCTTTGCCTCACTGGTCTGTTGGAGGGATAAATGAGAATTCATGTGTCTGAAATCAGGATCCCTGAATAAATGACCCAAAAACACAACTGCACACTTCTGCACAAGGATTTAGATATTTGTCATTGTATTGATTTGGCAGCACACAGTTTAACCTTGGAAACCAGGCTGCCAAGGTGCTGAGTCATCTAGCGGTACCACATTTGCTTCACAACAAAAAGGACTTGATTTTTTTTTAATAAAAGCATTGCATTGTTTTTCAAAAGAAGACGAAAATAAATTTACATTTACTTGATCTCTTTGTTATTGTTCTCACATCCTTGAGAATTTGCGGTTCCTAGAGTTTTGAAGAAACAGGAGATTTTGTGAAGCTTCAACTATAGATTATTCTGTGCAGGACATCAGAGAACACTTAAGATTGTGATCAGACAGAACTGGATTCCAGTTAGAGCAACTGCTCTGCCTCTCAGTTGAAAACTGACTTGATTCCTAGAATGGCTTCATCTTAGAGCCTGAAAGCTGTGCCTGACAGGCAGTGAGTGATCATTGTTGTCTTGGTTTTTTTTGTTTTGTTTTATGTTCAAGAGAATGAAACATTCCCTGAAATATTTGTTATTTTCTCTCTTCTCTGGTTCCTAATAAAATGGGAAAATGTCAGTTACTATAAACATGTACTACAGATTAAAAATAACAAAAGCGCAGGCCTCCTCCACAGGAATCACTGCTCCCAGCTGTGCCTTTTGCATCCTCTTCCTGCTCAGTTCGCTTCACAAGCTCTTCCTCAGCAAGTCTCCTTGACACAGTTTGCTCACAGTTTCATTATCAAGTCCTGCATTCTTCCCTCTGATGCTGGAACAGTCTTTCTATTCTTTGCGGGCCAGCAGCCTCCCTTCTCTGGTTTCCTCA